CCATTCACTATCTCAGTGATTCCGATTGTACTCCTAACAGCAAAAACAAAATTCTCAGCATCTCTTGTCCTGATCAATTTCACTTAGTGATTTGATATTTTTTTCCACTGGTTCTCTTCTAAGAATAGTTGATTGACAGCTCGGGCTCACTGCAGGTGACAACAGACAGTATGAGTGAGACTCCTAACGATTTATGTCTTCAGATTCCCCTGAGACATCCGCACTGTGGTTTTATATGTCACATTGTGTTCTGAACAATCTTCAAAAGGCTCTCGAGAATACGCGTAGCAGACTGTGACAGCAGCAAGGCATGTTTTCTTTAATCATGTCGATGCTGGAAAATGAAATGCAGGAAATAATCTTATCTTAAGACACCTGAGGAATCTAGAGGTGGGTGTGCAGACTATACTCCTTCAAATCTCACTGTTTTAACATCATTTTATGAAACTAGTCATATTTCCTTTAACTTATTTTATATGTAATATGAGCAACAGTTTCCATGCTCTAATGTTTTTTTTTTCTCCAAATTGGTTCAAACTTAAGATGTGAGTATATATAGTGTCCACATGATTTGTTATTAAAGCAAAGAGACCATTAAAGGTGGTGAACTAATGTGTTTTTATTGCTCTCCCTCAATTAAAATGACAATTGCAGTGTCAATTTTTTTATGTAACAACTACATAATTTAGACTAAAATGTTATTCTTTGCAGAACAGCTCAAGCTGATTGGATGGAAAGGTCTTTCAATTATCATTTTTTTTCTCTGAAAAGATTCTCAATTGGACTTTCAGACTGGACTTTAACTTGGCCATTCTAGCATTCTAGAGCTAATATGCTGCTGGAAGGTGAACCTCTACCCTGTCCAAACTGATTTCAGCCTTTTAACAGCTTCTTTCTGGGTTTGTCCTGTGTGTAAGTCCTGCTGTCACCATGTTTTCCTGTTGGGTTGGTGCGTTCAGGGTCACTCGCATTACAAGCTTTGCATATCAGTTCAGTTGGATGGTCTTTTTCTTGTGGGTTTAGAGTTGTGCAGTAGACTTTTAATTCAGATGATGAATTGAAAACTGCTCAAAAAGGTTTTTAAATCTTCTCTACAATTTTAACCTTGACATATCAGGTGGGTTCTTTGGTTTTCACTGCATCTTAGTCACTCCAAACAGAAGCAATGGTAGCTGTATTCCAGTGCCCTCACACTCCAGGTTTTGATTTGTAAAGAAATTCTGAAAATTATATAAAGATAATGAAGTTTAATAGTTTTTAAAGAAATAAATCCAACTTTCAGTGGATAGAGATACTTTTGCAAGGCTCTGTGCTTGTTATTACACATCTAACGTGCAGCCACTAACTGCCTCGTCAGTGCGTGCGCTCTGACAATAATGTTTGGTCGTGTCTGCGAGGCTGGACCCCTGAGCCTAAGCTCTTTTATGTGAAAAGGTTTGGTGAGTCGTCAGCCCTAATGCTGACCAGCCTCTTGTGCCGCTTTGCTGAGCCATGGGGCTCCCAGCAGGCTGGGGAGTGCTGACTCCAGTCCTGGGAACATGTTTACCACTGGCCTACTCCCCACCCTGTGGCATCATGAGAGGGGCTGGCAGGGGCTGGCTCCACACACACAATGAACCTGCTGAATATGGTGCTATACTGTTATCAGAGCAGGGGACTAGCAGGTGGTTGAGAAACAGGCTAGGCAGCCTCACAGGGTTGGACTTGCCTTCTATTAGCTTGCTCTTTAGCTAATTACCAAGTTGAAGTTGTTTATCACTCTCATTAGTAGGCAACTTATCTTGATGTTCAACTTAATAAAAAAAATTGTAGTCAGATGCCCCCTGGCATTTAGTGATGTGGAGGTTCTATTTATTTTTGGCCTATAAATGCATGCTTAGCATTTGCACCTAGTGCAATATCTATTAAGTATAAACACATCTTATAGCATTCAAACATACAAAATCAAGAGGGCTGTGAACAAAAGAATAAAAAAAAAAAACAGGACAACAGTTAATTTTTCAAAATATTAATGGTATAGTGGAGGATTTTCACAAATTTTTGAAAGATCCGCCCTCTCCACTTTTAAAAACACATGCACAACCCTGTACCCGCTCCCAAGAGGGAATGCCTATTAAACGCGTGCGAGAGCATTCACAAGCCCATTTCTCCTTGTGCACGCTCTGTTAAACATTTGCTGTTAGCATGGCTAAAACAAACTTATTTTCAATCTGCAATTTTTCCACTATGTCAGACTCACCAGCGGTAAGTGAAAATGGGGGAAGATCACGTAGGACGGCCTTACGTAAACAAATCATTGGAATGATTGACAATTACGGGGACCACTTATTTTGATGATCCACTCGGAAAAAAAAATATCCTCCACTATACCTTTAAGGGAACCAAAAAGTCATTTTCAGCTCCTGGAAATCTCAAATGAAGCAGATGAAGACCAAATCTCAATAGGACTTAAGCTGGAAATGCGACAACTTAATTTTCCATCATCATTAAGTTAAAACTGTAAAAGTTTAAACTGGTCTAAAGGACATATAATTTACAGCTTCTGTACCAGCAGATATTTATTTATCATAAATTGATTTAGTATTATTTTTTTATTTGGGGGGGTCAGCTCTACAGGACTTCTGTCTAGAACCACCCATCACACTGCATGATAAATGTCCCGTTTAATGACATGCTACTGTCTTCAAAGTAAAATCTGTTTTACTCAAACAGCCATATTTTGTTATTTTACAGGTAAACATACTTGGTGTTTGATCATTATCCTGTTGCAACTGAATGTAATGAAGTGATTTTTAGAGATTCTGCTGCAAGATTCATGTTTCTATAGGTCACTGCAGCAAAACAAAGGCATATCATCACTATACCACCTCTGTAAGACAGGTGCTGACAGGTTCTGTTTAAGGGACTTGGAGTCTTTTGGTCTGACAGTAATCAGTCTTGGGTAGATTTAAACTGAGTTTCCAAAAATAAAATAAAAAACTTTAATCAAAGTTTGAATGACTATTCAATAATAATGGATTATCTGTTTTTACATACGACAAGGTCAAACCCCTTTTAGAGGTAACTTAAGTAGGTCATTATATTCATCTAGTAAGAAAGAGGAAAACTGGGTTATTTGTAAGGTAGAAAAAGTAAGCTACCCATAAAACTTGTGGTTGAAGTGTTATCTTCCTGACATAATTCTGATGGATCATTTACCTTATAACCTGTGCTTTATTTAAACTAGTTAAAAGCTGTTCCACTGAACATGTTATTGTCAGCGTTGGCATAAACAAAGTCATTGAGCTGCCTGTTTCTTATCTCTGCTTCCTCCTGGCTTTGAAAGGCCTCCTTTCAGTGTGGGCTGATTGGTGGAGGAATGGCATTTTCTGTGGTGCGATAGGCTGTGGTGCAAAACCACCAACCGAAAGGCTGTTATTGCTGCAGAGGCTGCAGCCGTCCATTTAACCATGGCAGTGCTGATCTTTCTGGTTTGACCTTTACCCCCTTCTTTATTTATACTATTATCATTGCTGGTCACGAAAGAGGGCTGGGGGCTCAGCTTTCTTACATCCCTTCACTTTGCCTGCTCTTCCAGCACAAGCCAACAGGGGGACCTGCTGCTGCCTGCAAGAACTGGTGGTTGTTTTCATAGAGATTGCAAAGATGAATAAAGAGATATGATGCATTTTCTCCCTTAAAACTGCATTTAGACCATTACTCAGGTCTATTTTAGGAACTGTAGGGTTTTTATCCTTTCAGATCAGTATTGATTTAAATGATTTGTATGGAAAAATCCTTTAGGAATCTGCGTGAATTGATTGAAGGTTTTATTTAGCACACAGAACGCAAGAAAAACACTAAATTCAATCATGATCGATAAGAACAGAGAACAAAAGAAGCAGAGAGAGAGAAATGATGATGTTTTCTTAGAGGGGGATTGACTCCCCCTCCCTCCTACCAGCTCACGTCGAGGACGCAATCTTTCTTCACGCGTAGCCCCTCCCACTTGGGGCTCTAGCGCGCCTATTGGCTGCCTAAATCTGTTTTCGCGTTCCGATTGGTTGCCTGCGCTGTCACTCACCCGAGCCCCAACATATTTATCGAATGTATGAGCTGAAGAGGACGGTATTCTGCTAAAGGGGCAGCAACAGCTGACTCCTTGCCTGCCTGGCCACTTTCCCCCAGCAGTGCCCCAAGGAACAAAGACAGGAGGAAAAAAGAGCCATTTAAACTTTACAGTTATCTTTAATTACCTGCTCCGCGGAAAGAAGCAGAGGGGAAAACGGAGGAAACGAAATGAGGCACGCCATCGCACCATCGGAGAACGCGGAGAATAATTCAATCGCAGTGACAGACTTGTTTAAGATATGCACCCATTGTGAACGGCTCTCCAAAAAGGTAACCCGAAAAACATTAAAAAAGGGCGCAAATCTTGCATTATTTGCATGTTTATCCCTGGAATGCGAGATTAAGAGCGGTGACAGTAGAATTATTTGGAAGTAAATCCGTGCTTGTAGCAGACAGGCTGCAGTGCAGTCTTTTGTCCAGGCTTGTTTACGAGAGTAAAGACTTTGTCATAACTGGACAAGGAAACCTCCGGGTTTATCTGTTTGTTGCAAATGTTAAAAAGGAAACATGCAGACGATGCAGTTTAAAGTGTTTTAAACACACTGTCACCTGCGGATGATGCCATTTTTCTCGGACTTTCCAATGAGCGCTGTGGGGACATGTCTAGGCAAGCAGCGGAAAGTTACTGGACAAAGCAAGTCTGTGAAGGTTTCTCTATGAACAGGGGGCTATTTAATTATTTTTGTTTATTTCAAGACTTCAAGGTTGTTGAATTGAATGCATATGTCATGCAGAAATAAACACGATTTAATCAGATATTTTCAATGTTGCAGCAACAAGGGGGGGAGGGGGTAGTTGGATGATTTAACTGCAGCATTTACTTTTCCTTTCTTTAGCATTTTTTCCCCCTCATCTAATATATTCCTAAACCTTATTTTATTCTTTTCCAGGATTTAGGCGTAAGGATCCCAAGACCCATAGGAAGTGGACCAAGCAGATTTATCCCTGAAAAAGAGGTACGGTCAGATCTCTCCCTTCCTTCAAGAGACTTTGAAATCTGTTGCAAACAAATAACATAAAATCTAAATTTTGATTGGTGTTTAGATTCTTCAAGTCAGTAAAGTGGACGCCAGGACGCAGGCAATTTTTGAGGATGCATTCGCAGCCCTTCATCGGCTGGACAACATTTCCCTCGTGATGAGCTTCCACCCACAGTACCTGGAGAGCTTCCTCCGGACGCAGCACTACCTGCTGCAGATGGACGGACCCCTGCCTTTGCACCACAGACACTACATCGGCATCATGGTATGTCTTAGACCCCGCCTCTGTAAACTCTTTAAGTACTTTTTTTTCTTCCTATCAATCTGATTATGCAATTTCTCCTGATTGTGCAGGCGGCTGCTCGCCACCAGTGTTCCTACCTGGTCAACCTGCATGTGAACGACTTCCTTCAGGTCGGGGGGAATCCCAAGTGGCTGAACGGCCTGAACGAAGCTCCGCAGAAGCTGCAGCAGCTCGGGGAGATCAACAAAATCCTGGCCCATCGTCCTTGGCTTTTAACCAAGGAGCATATCGAGGTGAGCAGACTGAGATCCCTGGTTGTAGATGTGCAACTAAGACCTGAAGTTGTGGTTTATTTCAGCAGCCTTTCATGATTTTTATTTTATTTATTTTTTTCAATTTCAGCGCCTCCTTAAGGCTGAGGAGCACAGCTGGTCCCTGGCAGAGCTCATCCACGCTGTAGTCCTGCTCACCCACTACCACTCCCTCTCCTCTTTCACCTTCGGCTGTGGTATCATGCCAGAGATCAACTGTGACAGCGGACACACGTTCAGACCCCCCTCCCTTAGCCAGTACTGCATGTGCGACATAGCCAATGGAAACGGTCACGGCAATCATCATGACGACTTGCTGGGCAATCAGGTGAATAGCCGCATATATAGAGGAAAGTCTGCAGAATCGAACCGACCCTGAATTATCGCTGACTGCTGCTTTCTTCTCGCAGGAGATGTGTGGTGAGGTGGAAGAGCTGATGGAGAGAATGAAGCAGCTGCAGGAGTGCCGTGACGATGAAGAGGCCAGCCAGGAGGAGATGGCCACCCGCTTTGAGAGGGAGAAGACCGAAAGCATGTTGGTGGTGACGTCAGAGGACGAGGAGTCTGCCCCCTCCAGGGACATCTCTCGGCACTTTGAAGACACCAGCTATGGCTACCAGGACTTCTCCAGGAGGGGGGAGCAGGTTCCCACGTTCAGAGCGCAGGTAAACCTCAGAGGCAGATTTGCGGAGCAGCGTGAGAACGTGGTTTGGACGTCGGTTACAGAGGCGTGGTTTCTGTTTCCTGCAGGACTACAGCTGGGAGGACCACGGTTTCTCTCTGGTCAACAGATTGTATCCCGATGTGGGGCAGATGCTGGACGAGAAGTTTCAGATGGCCTACAATCTCACATACAACACCATGGCGACACATAAGGATGTGGACACCAGTATGCTGCGCAGGGCCATCTGGAACTACATCCACTGCATGTTCGGCATCAGGTATGACCATTCTGATTACGGGGAGATAAATCAGCTTTTGGACCGTAGCTTTAAGATCTATATCAAGACAATGGTGTGCAGCCCTGAGAAGACCACCAAACGAATGTATGAGAGTTTCTGGAGGCAGTTGCAGCACTCCGAAAAGGTCCACGTCAATTTGCTGCTGATGGAAGCACGGATGCAAGCAGAACTTTTATACGCTCTGAGAGCGATCACTCGCTATATGACATGAAGTGCTTTTGGCGTTTTTACTGTTCTTTAACTGTCGTCGTTGCTCTTTCTGGAACACTTAAAAGAAAAAAAAAATACATGGGGCGAGGGAGTTGTTAAGCAAAAAGAGCTGTCAGTTTTTAAAACGCCTGTTGGTAGGACATTGCAGAGATGATTGGAACAAAGGGAAGATTTTCTACTGCAGCAAAGTCATCTCAAACTACAAGTGGATCCACATTATCAGAGGTTTCCTGCAGTGCCAAAATTAACCAACAGAGGACAGCCTTGAGCAAACTGAAGCCCTGCTGAGGGGGTTGAGGCTCAGAGCATTGACACTGGAGACATCCAGGACTACATTTCAGTATTCCAGCATTGCCTCGGTTCTCTTTTGATAGGAATGAGCATCCCGGGGAAATTTCCCAGAAAGAAAGCTGTGCAGCCACATCCAGTCTGCACTTTTGATTCTGTCGTCACTGTTTTAGTTTCTTTAACATTTTTTTTCACTTTTGTATGATGAGTAGAGGATGTTTTCAATGTAACCCCAGATGGATGCGTTAACTCTAGTGTTTTTGTTTGTTTCAGTGATTTCTACGTGTGCCTGAACTATATCCAGCACAGTGTGCATATGTGCTGATGCTGCTGCTCCCAGCTGTATTTTAGTGGGATCATATTGATGCCCAGAATCACCCCTCACCCAGTTCCCTTAATCCCTTTATAAAAGCCCCTGTCTATTAAAAATCCATTGCATTACCCCCCACCCTACCCTTTTACCCCTTAACCACGTCCCCAGTCTCAAACGTCAAAGTAAGCTAATCCGAGGAGTGTGAAAACCCTACATGTGGGTGGGAAAGCTCAAAAGAAACACTGTCTGAGCCCTTTTGAGTTTGACTGTACAGGTGTGAATGAGTTCTGTTCTTCTGATAACTGAGGTGAGAGTGTTTGTGTGCATTTCTCAAGAATTGGAGAAACAGAAATGTATGTCTTTGAATTTCATTTAGGAAAAAAAAAGCGAGGCACTTTGAAGGAAAGCCTTCTTGCTTCTGCTGTAGCTCTCTTATTGGGAGAAAACTGTTCTTTTAATGTCTTTTTTTTCTTGTATTGGGGGAAAAAAATGTTAATGTAATGGAAAGTTGGAAAACCAAGTTCTCCAGGAGGGGGTTTGCTTCCGTCATATCTCGTCTTCCGCTTATCCCACCTGGCTGGTTGACCAAACTCTTTCAAAGCTTTTGATTGTGAATTTTACCAGTAAAATACCTCTTCTGTTTTTTTTTTGTTTTGTTTTAAACGTTAAAAAAGTGCTCTTTCGTGAGCAGAGCTGTATTCCCGCTGCTCGGGAATCCAGCGCTCACACGGGGGGCTGCCTGCGGTCGATAGCTTTCGGACGCAAAAAAAGTTGTAGCTGTGCTTCTTTCCCTGTGAGGGAAGTCTAACCAGTGCAAAAGCAGCATTTTTTTTTATCAGAGGTTTGAAGCCTCTGCTTATTTCTTTTGTTTACTAAAATTCAGTAAAGTACTGCATTCTTTTTAAGTTGGACTGAGAAAATCAGGCGAACGATAATGTGAGGAGGAGCAGAGCTGCAATGATAAAAGAATGGTACATTTGAACGTGGTTTCAGAGGAAGTCGAAGTTTTGTTTTTCTTTCAAGCTCCTGACTGATGTCAGTTACTGACACATTTTATATAAAAATATGGAAAAAGTAAAAAAATAAACTATTATACTGAGTTTTTGTGTACTGTCTGCAGTTTTGTCAAACTTGCATCATGAAAAATTCTGGGAGATCCAAATACACAGTTTGGGAAAAGAGCACAATCATGACTATGACTTAATATTTGAACAGAAACTGGAAATGTTAACTCATCGTATGACAAGATGATTTAAAAATGTGGATTTTTAAGACTTGCATATAATGTTCTACATACACAAAGCTGATCATCACCAGTAAGCTGAGCTTAGGGGACTAGCCCAGCTTATTTGCATCGAGACATTTCAGGGACTTTTAAGTCTTTATTTTACTGTCCATGCTTCAAAGCTGCAGAGGATGAGTTAATGGTCCCTTTTTCCTGTGTTGAGGTCAAAGTCTTGTTTTGCTCCTGACCATGTTAACTCACCACAAAGGGTTTGTTGTTCAATGCATATTCACCATCAGGAATTAGGAGTCATCTCTTGGTCCAACATTTTACGGCTCCCATCAAGTTTTTTATGGATTAGGTTATTTTTCTGAACAACATCGCTATCAACCAATTTGTTGTACTAGAGGGGGATGGTCTGATTCTTTTAGGTTTTTTTTTCTAAGCATGGGCTTGTCTTGTGCTTATTACAGGTCACTATTGTGCTGAAAGTGAGGGAAACTATCATAACTTTAAGTGACATTTCTCTTATATTTTTTAAGTAATGTGACTTATGAAATGCTGGCTGTTCAGTGCAGCTTGTGCACATTTGCCTTGCCCCTTATCTGTGTAACAATAAATGCTTTAACAAAGCAAATGACTAAAGACTCGTTCCTTGTTTTTAGTGTTTAAGTCAAAACCACACCAACCAAGACCAAGGGGTACAGAGACGAGGCCTTTAGAGACCAAGACCATATAAAGTCTTGGTCCCGACTAAAACACTACTTGTTTTCTACACTACTTCTCCAAACACAAGTTCTTAATGTCCAGCTGTTACTGTACAATCTTTATTCCAGGAGATAAATTGTTTTGAAGTCTACATTATCATTTCAGTATCTACCACACAGAATGAAATGAAGTCTACATGGATAAAAGCTTGAAAAGTTCATCTAAGGTCCAGAGTAACTGAAACAAGTCAGTTAGTTTAAATACTGTATAGAATAAATAATTTCATTGGAGTTAAACAGAGTAGATACAATATTTACAGTAATTCACACCTTTAAAGAATATAAAATATATACACACGTTTATCAGACTTCATTTTATGTTCTGTCCACTCATTAATTATTAACCACCACACGTTTCATGTTCCCAACCTGAAGTTCCTGTAAAAATGTTTGTGACCTCATCCTCTGTGAAAAACAGCAGCTTTCAGTCATTCTGAACACTGACGTCAGCTGGATGATGAGCAGCTCTTTTTTCTGATGTTTTCTGCAGGAGCTCTCTGTACTCAGCATGTTGGATGAAAACAAACCAGACGTTTCTAGGCAATCAAAACTGATCGTGTCAAGCCCTCATTTCCTCGGGAATCGAATACCTTTATCAATTTTTGAGCAACTGGTAAAAACTCTGACTCCCAGCACACTCTGTGGAAATCCGGCTCATCTTCATTCTGTCTCCACTTCAGAGCCTCCTCTTCATCTAATGAAAAAAACAAAAGTGAATAAAGAGATCTTAGGCATTTAAAACTTTTTATGTGACAGAAAAGCATTGTGTAAAATAAATTAAATTAAAAAAAGGTAACAAGGTTCAATGTGCATCAAGCCATTGGATTCAGTTCCTTTGATTCTGATACTTGATCAATTGGAAAAACGCAAATAGACCCATGGTGACAATGGAGGAGCTGCAGAGGTCTAATGCAATAGAGTTATTGATAAGATGGATGGAGGTAAATAAAGGGTAAACTAAAAAGAAGAGGCTGAAAAGACTGAGGTGAAGGTTGGAGTTACAGCAGGAAACTATAAACACTAAAAAGGTGGAAGACAGATTCTAGAAAAGATTTAAAGCTTTTTTGTTTGTAAAAAAAAAAAGAAATGAAAAATCCTTTATTATTAGCTTACATTTATCCAATACTTTGTGTCAACATTATTACATTAAATCCAGTTTAAACAATGTAAGTTTGTGTAGAATGAAATGGTTAGAATGGTGTAATTACTTCAGCGAGTCACAGTATAACATTGATATATTTATAATAAATGTGTCATTTTCCCATCAGGTGACAGATTGACGTGTGAATGTGTTCTGTTCCAGTTTGCATCCCTCCCCTGGTTATGTAAGGGCAAGTCATAAAACCGACCTGAGTACGCGATGAGGATCTCCAGCAGCGTCTCTCTCTCCTCTGTCTGAAGCAGCTTGTCGGCGCCGTGACCAATCAGGTTCCACAGGGCCTGACAGGCCTGGCCTGCCAACTGCCAGTCAGCTGGCCCGAAATCCCTCAGACAGTCCACCAACCTGCTCACACACACAAACTCTTCATGTGACTCGAGGAAGGAGAACTCACATGACAATCAGGGTGGTGCACATTAAGTGCCCTTCACTGGACATTCATTTGGACAAAAACAGAGGCTGTGGGAGGTGGAAATAAAATCAGCTGTTCCAGTGGTGCTTAGTCGTCAGGCAAGAATAGTAAAAAAAAAAAATATTTTTTTCAGCTTCAGATGTCATCATTTAAACATACACAGATTAATCTAGAAACTAAACAAACAACTTTTGGAAAAAGCCAAGTTTTCTGTCCTATGCCTCCAGCTACAGATCTATTATTTATACACTTCTTTTTTATATATAGTCTCAGCTATAAAATACCATTTAATAGCTGAAATATCTTTAGATAAACCTCAGCCCTGCTCTGTTTTGCTATTAAGATAAACTTTATGCTTTTCTCCAATCTTCCACTGATCCAATCTGCCATTCAGAGGAATCCTGTTAATATGTACATGTAAGACTGCTGAGTTTTAATGTTTGCTTTGCAGTAGGTACAGATGATTGTGCCTTCAAACCACAATTGCTTCTCTGAGTAAGCATGTTTTACAGAAGGCTATTTATCAAGTGCTTTTGTCCTTACTTTGCAGAAGCCCCCTCCAGCTCAAGACGAACCCTGTTGGGAGGGTCCAGAGCAAGGTTGGTCAGGACCCCGCAGGCGGAAAAACACATCTCGGCTCTCTTTGAGTCAAGCAGAGTCACCACAAACTTGTGCACTGAGGGAGAGGATGTGGACAAAAAGGGGAGATAAGAAGCAGCTATCAGCAGAGTGAACAGGCATGTTTATGCTGTGACAGAGTTGGCCCTGAAGATAAAAAGCTTGGGTGTGATAAACAGATCCTCACACTGCCTTGTTTTAAAGAGTTTTTTTTAAGGTAAATTACAGCTTAAAGATTCACATAGGCTGTATAACACCGTAATACTGCATATGTGAATCACAGTAAACCACTGTTTCTCCCTATTCTACACTGAATCCAACCAAATCCTTCCTGCTGTGCAGTAGTTAGGGTCACGGGACTGATGGCTGCTTCAAAACTTTGATTTTAATTTAATCCAAAATGTACTTATGCGTTTAACTTTTTAACTCGTGTTGCTTCAAAATTTCAAAAGTTGATGAAGTTTTTTTCCCATGGCTATTAAGGCTAAACACTGGAATTTAAGTTTGATCAGATCATGTGATGCGTCTATAAACGTAAGAGCCTCCCTCTAGACTGTCTGAGTTCACAAACTATAATCTGGTTTCTTACGCTGCTTTGCAGATTTGGCTTTCAAAGTGGGTTTTCTATCTTTTAAATCCTTGACAGTACAGGATTTATTTCACTGTAGATAATGAATATCTTACCAGCTCCCTGCTAAAAAGATAAAGAACTCATTTGGAAATTGTACACAAGAATGACTGAGACCTGTGGAGATCCGTGCTCCTCCTGAAATCCTGATAGATCCTTTTCTTTGTGATGCCAAATAATGAAGCAGTGTGCTTGAAGCACTGCTAATAAGTGTGTCTCCATTTCACCCAAATGTTTAAAGGGTAGTGGAGGATGTTCTTTTTTTCCAGATGGATCATCTAAATAAATGGTCCTACTAATTGTCAATCCTTCTGGTTGAAATGCTTGTCCCCATCACTTTGCTCCCCAAGGGGATGGGTAGCATGCAGAGGTAAATTTCTACAGTGTGATGAAGAAACTTCAACTATTAGTATTAATATTATTACTACCGGTGATGAGTCTGACATAGTGGAGAGATTGCAAATCTTCCTTTTGAAAGTAAGCTCACGTGAGCGCTGCAAACAGCAACTTTGTGTGCTGTTTGCATCACGTGCACAAGTAGAAATGGGCTTGTGCATGCTCCCTCTCAGGAGCGGGAACAGGGTTGTGCAAAGTGGAGAGGGCGGGTTTTTTCAAATATTTGCAAAAATCCTCCACTATACCTTTAAGATTTAAGCTATCAGTGGCCTAGAGAGTGGATAGTAGTTACATCTAACTCAATATAAAATAGTGAGAATAAATGTTGCATAATTATCTGACTTCAACCATGCCGTCTACTTTTACGTTTCCTGTAGATAGCAGCTACACACTACAACTTTACTGGCCTGTTTTCACAATAGTGAAGAAATTGACAAGAAAAGAAAATTATGCAAAAGTTTGTAAATTAATTTAAACTTCCTTATATTTAATACATTCAAGCCACTGCTGACAAATGTTAGTAAAAGAAAAAGAAATTCCCAGGGGAACTTCCTCGATGACCGACTTCTGTACATGTAAATGTGCAGACATGTTGGTCGAGGACTTTTCCATCAAGGTTGTTTATGATTGTTTTTGTGATAATGTCAGTAATAAATGCAAGTTGCTGTGAAGCAACACACAGATGAGCAGGTCAGGATATGAAGCAGCAGGTTTACCAGCTCACTCTACTACAACACTAAAGGAAAACCAAGCTTAGTTTAGAACAAACCTAATTAGTTAAGTGTTGATTTATTCTTCTGTTGAACACATACCTTCATTTTGCATGACAAACTCCCTCACATCCTTATGTAGGGACAAGTTTCCATAAACACGAGTAGCTTCTAATATGGCGTCCATGCTTGAACTAAGCATCAATTTCAGCATCGCTGTAACCCAAAGGAAACGTAGATTAGTCCCAGATAAATCTCTCTACCTCATCTAAATTCAGATTTTCTTTTAGTTTTACAGTTTGCGATGATGAGATGCTTGTTTCTGATTTCAGAGGTTTCTTCTTGGTAAAAGGAGAGGTTGTTAATGGCAGCAGCGACATTCACCAGTAGCTCCTCGCTCTCCTCTACAGACCTCAGCTCTGTTACCCAAATGTCACAAAAAAAGAGAAAACAAGTTAAAGAATAAATAGAAACCACGTTTTGTATGACTCCTAGGGAAAACACATTCTCTCAATTATGTAAAAGAGGACAGACATGCAGATAATCTGAGATTAATCTCTGAATGCCAAGATGAATATCTGGGGTTGCTTCTTTCCTCCAATGAAGTTTCCAATGTTAAGTTAATCAATAGATGACTCTGGCAAATATTTCATAAGGGAGACTGACAGAAGTTTAACCCGATGGAAACAGCGGCTCTTAATGGATCTCAAAGCTCTTCAGAATAGAAATAGAACTAAAGCAAATATTGGTGCCTTTCATATTAGATTCAGCCTGATGCGGTGTGACAATACAAAGGTCAATGTGATGAAGCCCAATGAAGAACGCCACTGAGAGCAGGCTTTAAATGAAGTCTGTTCCTGATATAGCAGCACATGCCGTGTAATCGGTCGTAAATCGCAGATATTGCGGTCGAGCTGTCAGCCGGCGCCTGTGCCTCACAGAATTTTGTTTCTGGTTCTGACTGGAAATGGTGCTTTGTTTTGATGCCCCCCCCTCGAAACTGTGCAACAAATAGCAGCTCGGTGCAGCGTGAATTCAAAACAGGACATCAATCTGCCAAGTTTGCTTTTTCATCTTTTACTGAAAGTTTTCATTCCCGTCTTTGGTGCTCGTATCTGTCGTTTAGGTTTTCATGCTCAATAAATCACGGCTTTTTTTCAGGTTTCACTAACAGAATATACTTACTGTACATGACATGTTGCTCGTTGTTTTTTCACATTTTTTTTTTTTTAACTCTTTTAGTTCCAATTGTTTATGTTTCTCCTCCAACTGTCTCAGAGTTAAGTGTAGGAGGCGAACAGCACACAACAGTTTCACACCCTCCTACATATCAGCTCAACCTGTCCTAAACCAACAAACCACATGGAAGAAATTCATGCAAGTAAACCAAGTCAGCTCTGAGAAGTGACAGTACATCCTGCTCCTGCAGCAAAGCACTTTGCTCTGTCAGAATTACAAAAACAGGTAGACCAAAGGAGGATGTGTGATCTATCGAGCAGAAAGCACAGAGATGGTGAGAACTGACAAAATGAGGAATGGGTTTCCCAGCACTGGGGAAGTGGTTGACTACCTTGCAAACGTAAAACTCCACTAAACAGTTAACTTTAAACTAATCAGAACTAATTTTCTTAAACCAATTGCTGTTTAGATATAGGCCGCTGTACAGGGCAGCAATAGTAAAGGGATGTACAGATCTAAAATCACCTATATTTTATTTACTTTTAATGCATGTGCATTCAGAGGGAAGTTTAAGCCCCTTGCTTGATACCGAGTCAAACATGATTGGTTTCTATGCTTTTTTTGAAAGACTATATTTTATTCCAAGCAAAAATTTTGGTGAATTTGATAGGTTGTGGGACTGCAGACAGAGGGCTTAAAAAAAGTCTCTTCATGCTTGTTATTTATTTATTTCAGTAATTCAAGTTTTTTTTTCTCTTCTTACCTAATGTCTCCATCAGAAGCTGAATGCATGCTGCATTAGTAGCCAGTGATGGACCAACTGTTGGGTGGATGCTCATGTTTGCCAGCACCCTAACCAGCTTCACCAGCACATCGTCGATCAGAGCATCAGCAGCAGGTTCTCTAGGGGAAGGCGCCTCTTTCTGGAAGGCTGTGCCTAATGATACATTTCTCCTCTGGTAATTGTTATAAAGTTGGAGAAGAGTGGGCATGCAGTTGTTGCACTGAAAGAGCTGCTGCCGATGCTCGTCGCTTCTGGCTGTCAGGTTCCCGAGGGTGAAGAGAAGACGTACAACGAGGTCCTGTGGAGACATAAGGAAGTGTCTGTAATTACCTGTTTAAACTGATAGGATTTACTGAAAATTAAAAACATGACTTAGGATCGTTTTTGTTCAGATTATTCTCAGAGATCAAAGTTAGTTTCTCAAAGTCAAGCACCTAAAGAAGTGGTTCTATTATTCAAAAGGTAAAAAGCATTTATGATGCTGTAACAAGACAAATCACAGAAAAATAAATGTTTTATTCATCCTTATTGCTGCTTTCCTCCAATCAAATTTTAGGCCCCCTTTACTCATAGCTCAACTCAAGCACCCCAGTTCTATTCTTCTTATGTTCTTCTAGGTTTTTAGAGAAAAAAAAAACCCAAAACACTATGTACGCTCTCCTTATAGAGCAAAGAACGCATGAGAAACACAGAGGGGGCTTGTGGACTCACCTGCTTTTGGTAATGTTTGCTCAGCAGATCTAAAATTAGAGAGTAGCAGTTGGGGGTCCGGGCCAAAGCGAGACAGCACTCGGAGTAAGAGGAGAGTTTACTGAGGGAGAGAGGGGACATTAAATACCACTGACCAATCAACCCACTGAGCACACTGCTATGGAGACTAACTGATCAAACAAATAAAGAGAGAGGCAGACTTCTTCCACATTTTAACAGCTTGGGAAAGAAACCCTAACCTGAACCTTTTCTCCTTTCTTAGATTTCAAATCAGCTGCTGCATTGAGTGGTAGCAGTTAAGGTCCACTAGTGTTCAACTTAGCCTCAGCATAAATAAAAATCTACTATGTGAGGCTTTGGTGGTTTGTAAATGAACAGTGGTGAACAAACAGCATTATAGAGTAACACAGTCAAAAGGTCAGAGATAAGCTAAGGTTGCATCAGGGTTAAGTTATAAACAAATAAGCCAATCTTTAAACCTTTGATAGAGCTATATTCAATTTGATATTCATATATTAGGACAAAACCATTAATGGAAATACACAGGCTGAGAAAGGTAGACCGATACGTAGTAAAGCATCAAAGGAGCTTAAAAAACTGTGTCGGGAGCATCAGAGATCCACAATTTGGATAGGAGGTTTTGTTTACAGCACAACTGTTAGTTGTGAACTTCAAACATCCACCTCTATAGAAGTTGGCCCCAAAAAAGGCAGATGTTATACTGTTTGCAGTTCACCACAAGTCATGTAGGAGACACAAAAAACCTCTGCATGCTGTGTGTGCTGAAACTTTACACCACACCTAACCCTGAACGCTGCAACTCAATGATGAAACATGATGGTAGAGGCATCATGCTGTGAGGACGCTTTCTTCCCTCAGGGACACATACGCTCGTTAGAGAAGATTAGAAGATGGATGGAGCTCAATACAAGGCAGTAAGAGCTTTAGACATGAAACTTTGATGAGTGCAGACAAAGGCAAACAGAAACTGTTTCTGTTTCTGTGTAACCACTTCAGATCAAGGCAGTTTTATAACCGCCCTTGGATCTTTTGACAGCTCTGATTCTCGTTGAGAGACAATACCTCATTTAGCAAGAAGAACTAATGTGGAAAAATAAAAGAGTAAAGATCAATTTTTATTACAATTATGAATCATAGAATAAAGACAATGTACCTGAAAATTCTGGAAATGTTAGTGCAGATATCTTTGTCCTCGCAGTAACGATGCAACACCAAGCACAGGTCTGGAATAACGTAGAGGGAAACAAACAGTGTGCGGGAATCAGGATGATCTGCAAGGTTCCTCAGGGTGGCTGTCAGCTGTCGCGGTTAGAGAGAGAGAGAGAGAGAGAGAGAGAGAAGGGATTAAAAAAATAAAGGAGGATGAGATGTTTGGAAAAAGAAGAACAGCCTGTAGCCTTCAGGGTTTTGCACACAGAAAAAAAAAGTTTAGTAAGGAAATAAATCATTCTATCACAAGAAGGAAACTGTAATTCCTAACATATGGCCATACTTAAAGCTGAGGAACGTTGCAGTGTGCCCTTTAACAGGGTAATGAGCTGTGCTAGATATCAAATGACAGACTGGTTCAAGATGTTTGGGCCAGCTTATGTGGTTTCAAGCAATCATGTTCAACAAAGAGGAGCACATAGTGCTTTGGACCGGCCTGGTTTACAGAAAGTAACAGGCTTGAAGAGCAGCAATGTGGCAGACATAAACAACAACATTTTCACCTAATAGTTGGAAAATCCCCCTTAGCTTAAAAGCTAACAAACAAACAAAGAAAGAAAAACCCTGAAAAAAAAATCATGCAACATTTGATTCCTCTTTAGTAACACGCAACAGCTTTTTGGTTATCACTCAGGCAAACATTTAAAGAGAAACATGAAAAACAGAAAGATTAGTTTAACTTTACAAAAATCATTAGCCTACGCTGGAGAAGTGGTCAGGTTTGAGACAAACCTGTACGAGGATGTGTCCTGCTACAGTCATGTGGCCGTCTTCCACCATACAGAGCTTCTGGATGAGTTCCTGTGCAACACCAATGCAGTTCTTGGCCAGTAGGAGCCTGAGGATCGCAGCATTTCCAGAGAGGAACTTTAAAGTACCAACACAGTAGAGTAGGGCTTCGCCAGAAACAGACACATCTTCATTCTTCAGCACCAACAGCAATGAATCTAGAAACAAAAAAATCATGCAGTTCAGTCTTATTAGTGTTAATAAACACAATGACACTCCAAAAAGAAAATTATAACACATGATGGAGTATATTTTAGGACCTAAAGCCATAAACCATGAAAATCTGACCAATGATGGAGTTTTTCTCAAAGAGGCTGTCGTTGCTTTCACTGCGGCTGATCTGGAAGATGAGCTTGCAGATGTTCAGCAGGTTGTTTCCACTCACACTGAGCTGGAAACACAAGAAGATAACAAAGCAAAACACTTCAGTTATTTCACATCAAGATGCCTCCTGCTTCTTTGTAATAGAGATTTACGGCAGACATGCTGACAACCATCCACCCACGCCTCTGCAAACTTCTACATCACTCACTGCAAGGCAGAGCTCTGCGATATGCAGGTTGAGCTGGGCAGAGTGGAGATCAACAAGGCGGAACAGAGTTCGCAGGATCCCAGACCTCTGCTTACAGCGTCGGCTGAGCATGTCCGCGTCAGCCAAGGTGCATTGCAGACGGTCACACAGGACACACATGCGGTCCACTGAGCCCTCCAAGCTGCCTAGGCATGGCAAAAACACAGCAAAGTAATCATGTCAGGTATAGGTCTAAATAAGGTGACAGAACTGACAGAAACACAAAAAAGGAAACAACAAAAAAACATCTGTTGTGTGTGTTGGCAAAAATGTCTCTTTGTAAGCTGTGTGACTTTAGAAGGAGTAAATAAATCTGACAAATGCGAAAGGAATTGTGTTCAGTAGTTTGTTCAGCTGAATACCAACTCTATTGTGCTGCTAGGCACGTTTCTAAAGGTTTCGCACAACTGAAAATGTAAATATTGTTGGAGCTTTCTTTGTTAAATAGCTAAAGATCAAGATCGCCTCTGACAGCTATTTAGATGTTGCCTGAACTTGAGTTAGGTCTGGACTTTAACTAGGCCGTTCTAACACACCTCTTTAACTTTTTCAAAAAAAAATAAAACCACAGAGTTCATTTTGTTATTCAGATTATGAGTGCTAGATCATGCGTATGTAATCAGCCCACCTGAGTGATCAATACTCTGGAAAACCGCCTTTCACTGCAACTATAGCTGCACATCTTTTAGGGTATCTGTTTTTTTTGTAACTATTCAGTGAGTTCTGAAGGCAACTGGTTGCTCTGGATTTTTTTCCAGGCTAGTAAATGGATGCAGAATGTACTAAATGCATGTCACATGGTTTAGTTTTCATAAATAAAAACATCACTTCTTTTAACAATAGGGCCAACATTTATATCGCTATATATTTCCTATTTGGGTTAATCATGCAATATAGTTTTAATATTCATAACAACCGGATCAAGGTTTCAGAAAGAGTGACAAATATAACAACAGCAGATGCCTGCAAAACTTATGATAATAAATAACATTTTAGAAATATTTGCTTTAAAAGACAAAACACATTAATCTACATAAAGCTTTCAATCATAGAATGTAATATTAATTGAAATATTTTTGCCATTACTGAACAAAATCATATTGCAAAATATATTGGTATTAAATGTTTATCCACCCCTACTTTCTTTCTAGTAAATGTATGCATTATAGCATGATAGTTTATGAAATGAAATACATTTTTTGTGGTTAGAACATGTGGAAAAAGGTTGAGGGATATGAATAGTTTTGTAAGGCACAGAGCTGAGGAGCTTTATTTATGTAGCTTGGTGTTTGTCAGCAGAAAATAAATTTGGCTTCCTCCTTTGGGGCAACAGCTTTGAGTTTCGATGCTAAAATGCAGAAGAACAATACAGCAACAGGCAGCTGATGCAAAGGAAGAAAAAAGGGTGGCGTCTTTTCCTCCTGTTTTTGTGGGAAACCAAACATTTTCCTTGCATAAATAAGAGGCCATTTCTAAGACAGGCTGAACGCTGTCTCACACTCTACGCTTCAGTGCAATTTCTCACAGTCTCAAACGTGTTTAATGCATGAGCCAGCAGCCCTTTAGTACAATAAATATTTAATATTTATCTTTCAAATGAAATTTCCATTAAATTTGTAGAGGGCTGAAATATTTAGGGACACAGATTTCATTTCATGGCTGCCAGACCATCATTTCAGGCTAAAAGAACAGATTCTGTACAGACGCCAAACATAACACTATTCTGTTTGTCTTTCCTCAGAGGCTGAGATGGCTGTGCTTTTTCATCCTGTGAGTCTTTATGCATGACTATCTGCCAATGTTGAGAAATCAATTTCTCAGCCTGCTGGTTGAAAATGAAATGTAATAAGGAAAGATGAGGGAGGGAATATAAGTTAAACTCAAGTAAAAAGAGCAGAATCTACACCATTGCTTATCAAATATAAAATAAGAATTTTTCGATTTTGCAAAGAACAAAAACATATATTATTGTGGTGAGAAGAATCGGGAGTTATGTATGCAGTGTGTTTGCATTTACTTAGCAAACACAGTGTAGTTACCTGCAGCCACACTCTCCAGCTCTTGAAGAAGAGGAAGAATCACATTATTCCACACCAGTGACTCTGCATCCTCCTCATCAGTGCATGTGGTGATGTCTCCATACCTCAGCTCTGAAACATGCAGAGACAATTGCAGTTTGCTAGTTAGCTCCTGCAAACATAGAGTTGGTGAGGGAGGTTCACAAGTTCATCATCTTAAAATAAAACAGCAGGAAGTTTGATGCCACAGCAAAAGGTCACCATCCACAGCTAAACTTCCTCTTATTTCTTTCTGCACCAACATGAAACAGGCTGCATCTGAGAACAAAAACCTGTGTGCATGTGTGTGTGTGTACAAGCAAATGTCTCTACTTTCTCAAACACCATGCATGTTCTTTTTTCCGAAATATTTGCATACCACCTTGCTTGGTGTGATACAGGAAGCAGTGGCTGCAGAAACCGACCTCTCTCTTTAAGCTATTGACAGATTTTTTTTAAAGATATGGTAAAAAAGTGGGTTATTAATGATGACACCTGAGTCAAAGTTTAAAAAGATGAAGTTTTCACATTAACAGAGAACCAAGGCATGGTACAAACTGTGAAAATCGGCATCATTTCTTGTAATTTATCCTACTGTATGTTTTTTTATTTGCATGAAAAGAACATTGGACATTATGGATAATTATGTTATGTAATAAAGGTTCAATTTGTTGCTTGATAAATATAGTAGCTTGTTGAAAAAATAAGAGAACAGTGAGGGCCATTAAATGGATCTGGACAAACCTGTTTTTTGTTCTGCTTTGAAGCCAGTGGGTCTGCCTCGCTCAGCCTCGGTATTTTTACTGCTGTAACAACAAAAAAAAAACACACACAAAAAAAACACAAAGAGCCAAGTTACATAACATTTGGTAACTATTTTCACACAGTTCTTATATGTGGAGTAGCCTGAGATAATTATGCATAAGAGAGAAAGATGGAAATGAAACATTTTGAGGAATTAAAACTGATTTATATCACAAGACTCTTCTTCTAGATACCCAGGCCCGACTGTCAGAATATTTTCTCCTACCACTAGGTGTCCCTGTTGCAACAGAGGAGTAACTTGTGAGCAGGTGCTGAGAAGTCCGTTTTTTTCATGTGCATGTGAGCACACGTAAGATTATTTGCACGCAAGTAGATACATGTGGGCGTATGTCCTTCCGCTGCCTTTATTTATCTGGCTGTGTGACTGTGCAGTTGTTGTGCAGAACGTTCTGCAGTCCGTCAACCGACAGGAACTGAGATCTCAGCTCTGTGGCCAGTCTGGTTAAAGCTGTACATGCTTTGTCACTGCGAGCTGTCTCCACTGTCTTTGTCTCTGTGCAGCACCAGTGAAGTGCTGAAAACACAGGCAGGCAGCATGCTATACTGCATGTTGTGGTTTTCCTTCTGCATTTCAGATTGCACATGTTTCTAAAGGTTTGGAAAACTTTGCCTCAAATTACTAGGTCATTCTGAAACGCATGATGGTTGTTGTGTGTGTGTGTGTGTGTGTGTGTGTGTGTGTGTGTGTGTGTGTGTGTGTGTGTGTGTGTGTGTGTGTGGGGGGGGGGGGGGGGTAGTTATAATAAGTAAGTACGGATAAATAGAGAACACAAGTCAACAATGATGTTGATTTATGTTCCCTTCTTTGTCTTCACAGGACTGCAGTCTGTGGACACAAACATGTATTTACATATGTTTATTTTTTGTAGCTGTTTTTACAGCTGAAACCAAATATTAATACATACCTCGTTCCTATTTCAATGTGACATAAATTGCTTGATAATATTTAAGAAAGCTTGTCTGCTTAGTTCTGAATTAATTCATTATATTTAACTAAAAAATGGACGTGTGGATGTATATAAAGTCACAGTCATTCTTAGTTCTTCCTTGTGTGATGTGGAAAATATGGGGGAAATCAGGCGAGATTTGGGCTTTTATATATACACACGACAAACCCGTTAGTGTCGCTCGTTTGTTGAAGAAAAAAATCCACAATAGTTACACAAGTAACTTGAAAATGAAAAAAAGAAAGTCGAATACTGCTTTTAAACCACGCTTTAAAATAATGATTTTGAAAAATAAACTAATGAAACAAACCTGCACAAAAATGATGATGCCTCTAGAGAAGACTAAAAATCATGTGACCGAAGGAACATGTGAAATCAAGGTGTCTCCACTAATTACCATCATAGGTGTCTACAATCTTGCAATGAGTCAGAGGGGCCATATTTAAGACTACAGATAGTCACTGTGCTGGTTGGGGAGATGGTGTTTACCACACTCAACGTGAGCTAGAGGAAGAGAAGGAAAGAGTTGGCTCAGGAGAAAGGAACAAAAATTATAGACAAGCATGTTAAAAGTGAAGGCATTAAGACCATCTATATGCAGCTTGATGTTCCTGTGACTAACGTTGCACAGATTATTAAGAAATTTAAGATTCATAGACTGTAGCCAACCTTTTTGGATGTGGCCACGGGATGAAAATTAAGAGACAGAAAATATAAATGGTAAAAGAAGAGCCCTAAAAAACTTATTTTAAAGAGATTAAAGGTTAACTTCATGCTCAAGGAACATCTGAGTCAGACCATCCGTCAGTATTTGAACCAAAGTCGACTTAATGGAAGACCACCAAGCAGGAAACACTTGTTGTAAAAAAAAAAACCCAGACTGGAATTTGCCGAACTAGTTGACAAGCCACAAAACTTCATGGAGAATGTCCCATGGACAGATGAGACAAAAATTTTACTTTTTGGCAAGGCACATCAGCTTGACATTCAGAGAAGATAAAATGAAGCATATTTACAAAATAACTCTGTCCCTACTGTGATACATTAAGGAGACAATGTTCTGGGGCTGCTTTTCTTCATCTGGGGTAGGGTGTCTTAAATCTCAGTAGGGTACAATGACATCTCAAGATTATGAAGGGACTCTAAAGAGAAACGCGTAGACCAGTGTCAGAAAGCTTGGTCTCAGTCGCAGGTTATGGGTCTTGCAACAGCATAATGACCCAAAACACAAAGCTAAAAACACCAAAAAACAGCTGGGATGAAAACTGTGGACTATTGTAAAGTGGCTTTCTATGAGCCCTTACCTAAATCCTATTGATCATCTTTGTAAGGAGCTGGAACATGCCTTCTGGAAAAGGCGCCCTTATACCTGAGAAAAGTGGATCACTTTGCTCATGAGATGTGAGCAGAATGACCTGCAGAGCAGTGCAGAAGTCTCACCGACTGTTACAGGAATCATTCGATTGCATGATTGCCTCAAAAGATTGACCAAGATTAGGTTAAGGCTAACATTACTTTTGCGTATATTGTGGCTTGTTTCATTAGTTTATTTTTTTCAAATCATTCTTTTGAAGCGTGGTTGAAAAGAAATGTCTGATTTCTATAAGTTTATCATCATAGAATTTTTATTTGTTATTAAGTTGTTCAGTTTCAAGTGATTTCTGTGACCACTCTGGGCTTTTCTTAAATAAATGAGGGGGACCAACAATGCTATCTTTCGATACAATATCCAGGTGTCTGAAAGTCACCGCAAATATTTTACACCAGTGGAACAGCACTGGAATGATGAGCTGTGATCTCATTCAGGAAGGTGACAGATTCAGTATCCCAGAGATGACCATATGAAAAGCCCGCCCTGAAACCGAGAAAATCTTTTTCAAGGTAAAAAAAAGTCCTGTACCAACATAAACTGAAGGGCTGCTCAGCAGGCAAAACACATCCACTTCAAAAGGGCCATGAAAAGCCAGAAAGCTGTTTGCAGCTGCATTAAGCGGTCTGATAAAACTAAAATGAATGAATTTGAATATTATAAGCAATATCAGATTTGGATCAAAAAGAAAAAAAAACAAAAGAGGAGCTGCAAACTTAAAATAAAAACCATAGCAGAGATGAAGAACATGGGTGGAAGAATGATGCTTTCAGTGTATTGTAGTGGCCTTTACAATACCTGATCTTCATACCCAAATTAGTGGCCGACAGTGTAAAGGTGTGTGTGAGGAAGCAAGGCAGCCTACAAACCACACTATGTTACACTAGTTCTGTCAGGAGCAACCTGCCAAAATATCAGCAATTTTGGTCATCATAACTGACCAGAAAAAGAAAGTAGCCTTTGAACAGCTGGGGAAATTTTTTTGTCTTTTTATAGGAAAATGTTTGCTTTCAATCATATTAGATGACTAAAAGGGGATACGCAGCAGGGATAGTTGGCAGAACCATGCTACACTGAACATCAGGAGCGCTTTGGCTTCATGTGATAGGATTAAGGTCCTGATAATAAGGTCTCTTTGTGATTCTGCATTCTCTGAGACATGACCTCATCCCTGTCTTAGGTCTGCTCAGTGCAGTCACAATATCCAACACTGCCAGCCTTGCCCAGATGGGCACCCAAATCTAATAGAGAGCCATTTGGAGCTGTAGAGCTCTGGCTTACTGGAGGAAAGGGGAACCAAGGGGCTGTCTAATCTCTCTTATAAATATCTTATCCACGCCATCATATTAAATCTGTCAGGCTATTTCAATTTCTGTGAAGTAAGGTTGAAAAAAGACCAGGTGAAGCTAAAGCTTACCCACTTGAGGAGTTCTGGATGGAGCATTTTTACAAAAAAAAAAAAGATCTTAAATTACTGTTTAAATATATATTTGTACAGTTTTGTTTTAAGAAATGCTCTGAGTGGGTTGTTCTCAATTTTAAAATCCTGTGTGATTTCATTATCAAATTAGTTTATTTTTTCCATATGGGATTAATCGTTCTAGACCTCTTCTACATTTAGGCCTCTCACACTTTTTTTTTTCTCTCCACGATGTTCATTTTATGAAAATGAAACCGATCCCAGGAGTGTGATCAGTGAACGATTCTTTAAAGTAGGCTCCCTCTTTGTCAGCAACAAGTTCCAGTAACATTTGTGTTTTAAAATAGCTTGAAAGTGGTTGTGAGGTTGGTGTATGAGCAGTGGGCAATGGACCAGATTTCCTGTAAAAATGTTTTATGGTCCAACTCCCCCACCTCCACTTTTAACAGGTCCAGCTGCCCCTAGCAAATCGATAAGTGGATGGATTGTAACAACAGCCCCCTGACATCATGTGTAGAGTTATATGCCCCTCAAGCTGACACACAGCTGATGAGGTCGACAAAAAAAAGTAGAGCTTTTAGCCTCTCTGCGCTGGGAAAGTGTAAAAGCTGACAAATGAGGAGATCGACAGATGGAGGCAGATTAATTGGATTTGAAACTTGCCAAGAAGCTGGATATAACTGCGACCAAGATGTAGTGTACAGCGAAGTGTATGGTGGTTTAAAAGGAGCTTGATTGTATAAAGTTGTAGAATTTATGCTTTTAGTTATAGATTCACATACTGCTCTACAGTATCTTGGAAAAGTCTCCACACCCCACAAATGTTCTGATTTCATTTGTGCTTTGCCCCTTTAAATCCAATACCACTGAATAAAATCCAGCAACCCACTGACTTCAGTCATCAGCTAAGTCATAATTAGAGTCAACCAGTTAATAACTAAATCTCAGCATGAAATAAGATGATTAGTGAAGCTCTGGGAGGTTTTTAGTGATAACATTAATGAATAAACAGCTACGTTAAGACCTAAGAACACAAAAGAAAGTTCAGGGAGTACATTTTATAGAAATGTAAGGCATTTTTAGATCAAAGACAATATTCAAAGGGGTCTAGTTGGCTGTTTGCCACACACCATGGCTTGGACACAGTAGCTCTGATGAGATGGAAAAAATATTAAGGTTTTAGGCTTACATTTGTAATTCTAATTGTGGTGAAAAACTAAGACTGCCAAATATCTGGAAGCGTTATATCTCCACGATGTAACATAGTGACAGACGACACCACGGTGGTGGGCCTCATCAGTGATGACGACGACCAGAGCTACAGCGAGGGGGTGGAGCAGCTGGTCGACTTGTGCAAAGATAACAGCCTGATCCTGAATGTGGAGAAGACGAAGGAGATCATCTTGGACTTCAGAAAAGAACCGGCCTAACCAGGCTCCACTGGTCATCAACAGCTCAGCTGTAGAGGTGGTCAACAGCACCAAATTCCTGGGGGTGCACATCACAGACACCCTCACCTGGAATGTAATCACCACCTCACTGATCAAAAGAGCACAAAAGCCATGTACTTCTTGCAGAAGATGAGGAGAGCCCACCTGCCCCCACCCATCCTGACCAGCTGTCTCACTGTGTGGTGTGGAGGCTGCAGCACCCCTGACTGGAAGAAGGTGAGAAGAGTAGTAAGAACAGCAGAGAAGATCATCTGGGCTCCTCTTCCCTCCATTAAAGATATTTCATCCCAGCGCTGCGTGTCCCGAGCCCGTAACATCGTAAATGACCTCTCACACCCCCACCATAAACTGTTCTCCCTGCTGCCCTCTGAGAAGAGACTTCGAAGCATCTGATGCACGTCGAGCAGATTCCATAACAGTTTCTTCCCCACTGCCATTCGACTGCTGAATGTTGTGTAAAATGGGTTATTTTATTTATTTAAAAAAATTGATGTTAGAACTGTATATAAATACAGTCATATGTTTTATATTACTATTTTTTAAGTATTTATTACTGTTTTCAAGGATGCACTTTAAAAATGAAATTGTCTAGAGCTTTTTTAAACCAAATTTTTTTTTTGTTTACACTCGTGTATACAAAATGACAAAATAAATCTCTCTAAGTCTAAGTCTAGTGGTGACACTATCATGCTATGGTGATATACTGCTTGAGCACTGCAAGGGTCCGATTGTTAGATTTGATGGATGGATTGAGGAAAACGAAGAGCTGCAAAAGGCTTGAAACTGGATAGAACCTCATCTTCCAGAAGGCCAACTGAAGCAACAATAGTATTGTTCATATCAAAGAAGATTCATGGGCTGGTTTAGCTTAAATAAATATCATACTGGAATACATTCCTACTTTTTTTAACATATGTAGGTAAGAATTTGAACTGCCTAATAGTCCAACAAATACATTAAATCCCTTCAGAAAAACTGGTGAACCTTTGTGGAAAAATTACAAAGAGGCAGAGCAACAAGGAATGGGTTAAGAGAGATCGAATAAAAGGCCAAAAATGGAAGACAATTCCATCTAGCAATGGCTAACTCTGCTACCTCACGTGCAAGTAAATCTTAAACTCATTGTCGGGCTGTCATTAAGGTCAAGCAGAAGGAGAAGCAGAAGAGGGAGAGAGGGTGAAGGACACATAGTGCTGAAGGTTTTACCTTTTACAAAGTGTTTTGGGTGGGCTGGGTTTTACATGACCTATGGGATCTGGACTACAAAGTTGTTTAGCAGACAGCTGCTTTTTCTTTGGGCCTGGATTTGATTTCCCTTTGATTAAAGAAGAAAAGATGAAAAAAGTCATGTTGACCATATTTCTACTTCTTTCCTTAGTTAACAATGAAAGCATCAGTTCACACAGAATCACTTTATCCTCTTACATTCAAGTACAAGTATTCAAGCACAAATGTTAGATGGTGCTCTCTTATGAAATTCACATAAAGTCAAAACAGCAGACTTTGTGAAAAGCAGGGGTTTTTCTTCCAAAAAAATATATATTGGCTTACATAACAACAGTGATCAAATACCTTGACTCAATAAAATATTCTCATCTCTTCATTCTTTTCCCCTTCTTTTTCGCCATGCTACACCCACCAACTTCTGTTTAATAGTAGCTCATTAGTAAAAGATAAAAGGAGAAGGAAATAAATATATAGAATTTCTATATTCAGCCCCTTTTTATTCCAGCACCTTAAATTCATTGCTACAATTTGGCTTTCAAAGTCTCATTATTAGTGAAAAGGTGGAAATGTGGCACCATGAAGGCTGCAGTTTTCAAACGATAAAATGGAAAGAGTACAGCACATCAACCTACCACATGTCCACCTACCCAAACCTTCAAGACAGGCGAGGAGAGCACATTCATCATGAGCTACCATAGAAAGATAAGAACTGTTAAAATGTTCCAGTTGAAGTCCCGTCCCAAATCTAATAGACAATCTTGAAAATTGGTGTTAAACTTAGTATCCCTCCCATCTGACTGCCCCTGAGCCACTTTAAAAAGAAGGATGGGGAAAACATTCCCTCTCCAAATATACATTGAAAGATTCCTAAAATATTGGAAAATCTAATCTCAGTTCAATTTTGCTCCACAAATTGTTGTCTCAGGAGGCTGAATGAAAATCAAAACTCCATTTACAGGGTTTAATTTGACATATTTTGAAAACCCATGTGTCCTTTTACTTGACTTCATAATTAGTCAAAAGTTGCTTTGGTCAGTTCTAGTGTATTTTGTAGAACAATGGCTGGACCCAAACGTCACAGTAAAGCAAATAAAAATAGACTTCGGTTTTCATGAGCCTTTCATTTATTTGCAACAGAGCAGAAGGGGTAATGAAGACACTTTTACGTTTTGTAGCTATTTACTGTATCTTTTCTCAAATCAGTCAACACTATTTTTATTTTTTTACCTACCATCTGTGCTTGCTTCTGAAGGCAGCAGCGACTGAAGAGATGCAGGCTTGAGGAGGCGGGTCCGAGCTGGTGCCAACCCTTTCTTTGCTTCCACCGGCCCAGTGGGGGATTTAGGAAAGACCTTAAACGAATCCTCAGCATCACAGGGGACCTGAATCTTTGGTTTCTGGACAAACAGACAAAATGCAGACATGTTCGTGGTCTGAGAAGCTGATCAGATGATTAATTTACTTTTAATATCTATAGTAATTGCAGGAGAGTCCATTAATCTTGACTGATGACAAACAAAAATGCCTATTGATCATGTGGTTATGGGAAGCATACGTACATGGTTAAGGGGTGAGAGGCGAGTCCCTGAGCCGGGCCTGGAGTTAGCTTCAAAGTTCTGGGCATGAAGACTGCAAAGTAAAAAAAAAAAAAAATGTAATCAATGATTTTAATATATGCACTTTATTTACAAATAGGAATTAGCTAATAACCTAAAGGCTGATGGAGGTCTGGTGTCTTGGTGTGCTCGAACAGAGTTTGTTCCAAAAAGCTGCCTCTGTCCATCTCTTGGAGTAAAAGGTCGCTTCGTGGACTGAACTTGCAGAGACAGTCGGGCTTCTCTGACTATCTCGGCACAAGTTTTCCTCAAACTGTTGGGGCGCTGGACGAAAGGGCTGCAGGGCTCATGCTTCGTCTCCATGGAGCTCAGTCAGAGTTTGATCATCCAGGCCTGGAAGACATTGATCAGTAAAGTACACATTTTAATGGCCCACTGTGCACAAAGGACAGTTGTTGGACAATTTGAATATTGACCAAGTTAAGTATGAAAAAAAAAATAGTTAGTCATGGGTTCAGTAAATTTTTAAGGTAATCTGTCCTTCACCATTAAAAGGTGTAACAAAATACTTAGAATTTCCCTCCACAAATCACCTTTCTGAAATGATAAATAACAAAATGGGTTTAAATATCCATATTTGTACATTTTGCTATTTGTATGTTTATTTATATGAATGTCTGTAAGCAGTGGGTGCACAAACCAGAGTTAATTTCCTAATTTCCACACAATAATTGCAAATAAAAGTAATTCTGCTTTAGACTAGATCAGGGGTGTCAGAGTGGTTCCAGAAAGGGCCGTGTGGCTGCAGGTCTTTTTTCCAACCAAGCAATAGCACACCAGACTCCAGTCATCTCAATAAGTCATCATGTTCAGATTGGACTCACTTGATGAGATGACTGGAGTCTAGTGTGCTGTTGCTTGGTTGGAAAGAAAACCTGCAGCCACACGGCCCTTTCTGGAACCACTTTGACACCCGTGGACTAGATGTTTCTAAATCACACATCACCAACCAACCAAATTGTATCCCATTTTCGCTCCCACTGAATTACCAATTTTAATACATCTGCAATCTTTATTTATTTATTTATTATTATTATTTTAAATTTCTTTAGATTACCATACAACCCTTTAAATCAAACACGGGTGTCTCATGGCCCATCTAGTTTGCGAGTAAAATTATTTATTGGTCCACACTTTTTCCGTTAATAGGTGTTTTAAACTAGATTTTCGGGTAAAATATTTTCAAGTGAACCATTTGACAGTGAATTCAAGTCCAGAGGCACCTTTTTTAAAATTGAGTCTAAAGTCACAAATTAAATGACTCGAGCTTGACCTGAGTAAAAATCTTGTGACTCAGGTCCCCACCACTGCTAAATAGAGTCCAGCTGTGTTTAATTAAATCACAGAAGAAATACAGCTGTTCCGTACAGATGGAGTACATTAATCAAAAAAAGCACATAAAGACCAAGAACCCTAAACAACTGCAAACAGGAAGGAACGGACATGCCAGGAAGATTAACATACAAGACAAGGAAAGTGTTCATTAACAAACATCCACAGCTTATAGTAACAATCTGAAAGAGGTAAGAAAGTAACATAACTGTTGAGATAAACCCATAAAAATCTGTGTTTACCCACATAAGGAGCACAATGAATACAAATAACCGGGGAACCTGGGGTCCTTTTCAAAAAGGAAAATCAGGGAAGAAGGTTCAACGGATTTAATGTGGTGATTAAAACAACTCAGTTGAAAAGATATGTGATTTTCTGTTTTCGGTTTGTTTACTACAAGAACTACTGAAGTTATTTTCAGATTACACATAAATAAAAAAGGAAAAAAAGGAATTAGCTTATGGTTAGGATAAGGATTCATTCGGTCATAACAACCTACCGAGCCTACTGTTATATAGGAGGCACAATCTGAAGCCATTCTATGGGACTGATAATAACGGCCACTGATTGGGATGAGAACATCTGAAGTGACTGCAAACAGCCAGTTAGTATCTACTGTGTGATGGAAGACAGGATAAAAAATGAGGAGGAACCTCATGAAATGATGCACAGTTCCTACCTGTTAGATGTATTTATACTCCATCTTCACCTGCTGATTGGTGATTACACCTAAATAGATTATTAAACCACTACCATTCAAGCAATAAACTAGTTTTCCCCATAATGTTATCTTGGGTTAGCACAGGCTATGGCAGGCCATTTTGAAACGTATTAGTTTGACTGAATATGTATTTCTAGTAACTGAAAAAAACATTTTTACTTATCAAAATGACCATTTCAAACAAACATTCTTCACTTCTTGAATAAACATTCTAGATGTCTAGAAATGGCTTATAAATCTCCATATTCCTATTGTTACTAGTCAGCAATTGTATTATTTTGACTATGAAGCTATGTGTTTTAGATATCATAAATGTACATTCAGTCAAGCTGATACATGTTAAAACGGCCACTTTAAATATGTAATTATTTCTAGGCATATAAAACTTACTTCATACTAGTGAAATTTGTTGTTTTTTTTTATTTAGGAAATTCAGTTTATGCAGCAAAAGTGTAATTTAGAAAATCTGTTATTACAGCTCCAACCAGGGATGTGATTTTGACCAGGAAGAATCTTAATGATCTACAGATGGAACAACAGAGAGGAGAGAGCTTATAATAAATGTCACAGTGGACTTAATATAAATCTACGCACTACCCTGAGCAGCAATCTTCCCTCTCCTTTGCAGCTGTAGCGCTGTTGCTCCATATTTTAAACATTTTCTCCAATTTGTTTTTTCATTTCTGCATAAAATCTCTAGTTCCAGTGGTGTAAAATGGGTACTTCCTGTTTTCTGTTGTCGTGTCGACTTGTCAAATTGGGGCTCCACAGACAATGGCTTTTCATACTTGTTTCGCACATGTGGTCAACTTACTCACACTTGATTAAATTAACTAACAGCAGCCTTTGTGAAATCAAAAACTCAGAGTTTCCAACCTTAGGTTAGATCAATTCAGAATTGAGAATTTGAGTATGAGTTTATAAAATGGACCCCTGAACTGTTTTGGACAAAACTGAAGTTTTTGCCTACATGGAGAGTATGTTGCAGTAAAGTACCATCTTAGAAATACACCATCCCTCATGGTTAAACATGCTTGTGGCAGTATTATTCTACTGTATGGGGAAGCATTTCCACAACTGAGAGAGGCTGCAAAAGGGTTGGTGTTAATATTCCAGCTTTACCAAAAAAAACATAAACATATAACTACAGGTAAAATGGAAAGGTTTTTCATATTCAGAATTGTCTAAAGTCCAGAACTCAACTCAAATGAGAAATATTATGCCGTTTAAAGACACTATTTGTCCAAATTGTTTCGGCAGAAACATAATTGCAAAATTAACAAAATCAGCCTCCATATTTGCAAATTTGTTAGATACTTTCTCATTGGTTATCAAATAAAACCTCATTGATCCATTATTATGTTGCAGGTTAGGGTGGTGGGCTTTTGGTTACAAAAAAAAAAAAAAAAAATAGTATACTACAAAACCATAAAAGGTATTTTACCTGACAATGGACTTTACTTTTCAAATGAGTTAAACACCTCAAAGTCTGTTTTATTAAATTTGTTCCTCTGGATGAGTGTGCAAGATAATTGGTGAGTTTTTAGAAAAGTCCAGTTGCTTTCCTGCTTCGTGGTCGCCATGACCCAGATCACTGAGAATTTGCACAGTCAAGTTATTTGCTTTATTGTCCTGCTTTATTCATTTAAATAGAGATATGTTTACAAATTTCTTGCTGACTTTTCCTTTGGCCTCAATCCTCTGCTGAATAGACACATTTTTCTTCTCTCTATATTATGTGTAAGCTGCATCCATGATTTCCATTTTTTTCCCCTCCAAAAAAATAAATCACTTGTTATCATGAGGCTTCAAAATAACCTTAGGGTTATAAAAACAATATTGAATATTTTTTTATTTATTTTCCAATATATGTCTATAGCCTACACGCGTGAAGAAAAATATAAAATGTCGGCTAAAATATTTCATTTACACTCAAAATTGTATTAGTCAAAGGAGTAAGAATAAGAAATGCAATTAAATTAAATCAAACATACTGATGGATATGGAGGACCAACGCTGCCATATCTAAAAAAAAAAAAAAAAAAAAAAAAATAATGTAGGTAGAAATTAAAATATACAGTGAGACAAATGTATGAATCTCTTATTATCTTCTTTATTTATCCGCCTTTGTAATAATGACCTTATTTATTTATTGAAGGAAGTTGAACCTCTAAGACACAGCCCTTCCTCATTTGCATAATGAGGCAGAAATGCATACAGAGATGTAAAAACAACAGGCAAAAATAAATAGCGTTGAAGAAATAAATAGGGTAAAAAAATACAAAGGAAGAATAAAACAGACAAAAATATTATCACATGCACATGAAATAAATACTTAAAAAAATAATAAATAAATAAAGTTGAAGATTATAATGGACAATAAATAAGGTAATTATTACAAAGGCGAATAAATAAAGAAGCTAATTAAAAGAGATATATACATTTGTCTCTGTATAAATAAATTTTTACCTACATTTATTTGTTTATTGTATTTTGGGGGGCAATTAATTGTATGCTTATTTACTTATTGAGCATTTATTTATTTTTGTATTTGTTTTTAGATATGGCAGAGTCGGTTCTCCATAGTTATAAGCCTTGCTGGCTGTGGAAAAGAGCCCGTGCGCGTTCGCGCTCCCGTTTCCATGGTAACAGAAATATCGCTTTCAAACGCAGAGGCCAATTCCAACAAAAGACTGACAAACACATTGAATATTTAGGGCTGGAAACTCAATGTGTTTATTACACCAGTAGTTTAGTTGCTAGGAAGCTATATTCCTCCAGTAGAACAGCCGGAATTTGAATTAACCAATAAACACACGAAAGCACCAGGAAGCGGTCGATGAGTCTGATGCTTGAATGAAACCTGTCGCTGCTTTTGTTCAAAAATAAAACAGAAACACTCACCGGACAGAGTTCTTTCAGTGAGAAACTTTATCAGTCAGGAGTAAAGCCTCATTTTAGACCAAAACATAACAAGGTGCGCGAAAACTTTTCGGAAACTTGCAACTTTCCCATCAGAAGTAAACTAGACCGAAGGCTTCGAGCACGAGCTTGAGGCGCGCGACTGAAGATGACGCAGCTGCTTCTAACGGTTGTGAAGGAAACCGCAACTAAAGTTTCAATGTGATAAAGAAAGAATCCGGTTTAATTTGTAGTTTTCTTTTGTCACTACTTGCCATCTTGCTATAAAAATAAACTTACTTCCTGTTTTATGATATTCACGTGTAATTATAAGGTAATGTGGCTATTTAAACATCATTCCAATCTAGTAAATATTGTTGGATTAGTAAAATTATATTTAAACTCTGGGGCTCATAAAACATAAGGAGGTCCACTCTAAATGTGAACTATTTTGGTACAATTATACACTTAAAAACAAATCAGCCAGCATTCTGTAATATGATCTCTTATTGTATTTGTGTTTATATACTTACGTTTACTTTAGTTTGCTGTCTGGATTTTTCAAGGTTTTCTTCATGTCTATTTATAAATCAGAAGAAATATGCAAAAAGAAAATAAATAAACTGATGCAACAATAGGGCCTAATTTTATCCTTTAATAGCTCATATCAACCAATAATTACAGTGCTAAGAAAGATGATCCCTTCTACAGACTGTTATTATATATTTTTTATTAACACTTTGTTTGACACTTCAAATTATAAATATATTTTTGATCCCAGTAAAATAACCTGAGTAAATTAAGAAAACAAGTTTTTGAATGTTGTTTGTTTGTTTAGGGAAACAAACTTTCATAAAACTAATTATGATTTAGCCTACCATTTTTTTGGGGGGGAAAAATAGATAAACCACACCCAGGACTGATGACTTAAAAACATGTTAAGAGCAAACCTAGATAGAACCAATTTAATAAGAAGAAGTGAGGAAGAGGAAAAGTGAAGAAACACCTTTGACTAAAACAAAACACAGAAATAAAAAACATCTCCATAATATCAAGACAATACAAGTTATGTATACTGATAAGAAAGAAAATTACATTTCTTGGAAAGTGTCATGATTTGGTAGTGGATAGATGACCCAAAATGCAGAGGCGGGGAGGCAGAGGTGATTATCTTGTGGGTTTAATAAAAGGCTAACAGAAAAACAGAGGCAGGAAATCCAAAAATCCAAACGTGAAAAACTAACACAAAACAAACTGAAAAAAAAAAAACAGTCCAAATATCCAAAATCCCAAAATCAAAACATGAAAACTAAGTCAAAACAAACCAGAAACCATGGAGATATCAGATGGGATATAATCTAGAAGAGGAAGGCTCAGAAGGACGGAGTTGGAGGAAGTTAGACGGGGACCCAGCAAACACTGAAGAGGGAGAGCATTTAAAGGAGAAGACTAATGAGCAGATTGGGAACAGGTGAGCACAGGGCAGGAGAGGAAAAAAGCATAGGAAAAAGGAGAACACAAGAGGGTAGCAGAGGGGAACAAACCTAGAAAACTGAAAATAACCAGAAAAGACAACAAAATAAGAATTAAACCACTAAGAAAATAAAACATGGAGCAAAGTAAAACTAAAAACTCAAAAGAAAAACAAAACAGAACCAAGACTGAAACAATAACTAAGAATAAACCAGAGAACAAAGCAAAATAAAAATAAAACCACTAACACTAGAAAACAAGGAGTAAAGCAAAACTGAACACTAAAAAGAAAATATAACAGAACCAAGACTGAGACAGTAACTGAGAAAAACCCAAGAAACACAACAACATAAGAATTAAACCATAAAAAGCTATAAAACAAAGAGCAAAGAAAAACTGAATATCAAAAGAAAAACATAACAGAAAACAGAAACTTAACAGAAAGTGTGTTCTAAAAAAAAAAAAGAAAAACACAACATAATGTTTCTGCAAAGAGTGGGTCTCATTTATAGTTTTCATAAATGCTTGATGCTGGTGTTGCCACCAAGAGAATAAATTTGTTTTATGTTTTGGGGGGTGATTTTTTTTTTTTTAATTGATTAACTATTTGAATGTCAGAAAAAAAAAAAAAAAGAAATCCAAAAGGGTGAAAACTGAAGTATCGTGTATATTTATGAATTTGTGATCAGAATGATTAGCCTCCAGCTAAACTCTAAAAAAAAAATAAACACCTTATCAAATATGTCAAGAGGAAAAACTTAAATGACTTTTCTTAAGAGCGTAATTTTTAATTTGTTGATATATTCTTAATTCTAACAAAAATAAGCATTCTAACAAAATGAAAATGCTAACAAATGTTAATTCTTGTTATTGGCGGGGTTTTACATAGTTTATTGCAGAAGCTGTATGTATGCTGAACTACAACTGCCTGGTGAGAAATGTCAAAAACCTGTTACGGAAATAAATATAGATAGACATTTATCTTATCCTACAATTGTTTGGGCAATTGATAATTACACTAGATATAAGGCACCTTTTTTAGAATTAAAAACATATTTATATATTTTCCAAAAAAGATAAAACAAGAGAGAAAAAAAGCAGGTTGGATTAAAAGAACTCTTAGATTCTCACTAGTTGGTGTAATTTTGGTTTTATTTAAGGAGTTGCATGTTTTTTTTCCAACTCTTCCATGTTATATATAGAGATGACACATTTTAATGCAGCAGGCAGAGATCCTGATCTGTTGGAAAACAAAAGTCCCACGCTGCAAACTAAAGCATTAAGCTAATCCAAAATGCTGTTGTCTAGTCATCAAATCTACAGATAATAATTTGCAAATAACATTTTGTAAATAATAGATATTTACTTTACTTAAGAAAACATAGTTTAATCATTAGTCAGCATCATTCTGACTCATCCGCCATTTTGAAGTTACTCACACTGTCACGATAAAAAAATAAAAGGGATATAGCCCAAAATGGCTGCAGACTTTCACTCTGGAGCTTCATTGCAGTTGTGGTCCAGTCGCTAGTTGGTCTTTGATGCAACAGTCCTGCTTCAATGTGCTCCGTTAAATAAGGAATCCATCCTCATTCCTCCGTTGCTCTGTTTACTACAAGTATAGCATGAATGTGGCGAGGAAGCAAGATTTGGGCAAAGTGCAAAGGTAAATTCAGATTTAGGGAGTGCAGAGGATGCCGAAGTTTACACACCTGACTTGCATTACATTCTGTGTCGCTTCAACTCTGTCTAGATGGACTGACCTCTTTGAAAACCAATCAGATCTGTCTGGATTTTCACATTCATCCACTCATAAACCTTTCAGCCCCCTGGCTTTTTTTCAGTTTTTGCACTCTGAAATATACATCTGAACAATCTTGCTAGTCTCTGGTTGGATTTAAATAGCCTTACATGCTTTAGTCTCTTGGATACAGTAAGCCTGATTGGCCCAGAGTGCAGGCTGGCCATGCCCAATCGCAGGGCATCACCATGGAGCTCGGCAGCCAATGGGAGGATGAAGATGCTTTCAGTGATTTCATTGTCACTAAGGAAGGGGAAAAGGCACTGCCAGGACAGTTGGTACAATCATGTCAAGCATTTAAGTCTGTCATTGTGACAGTGTGTATGTTTGAGACAACCTGAGGAGCCAAATGAAAGAGAGCCAAATGTATTAATAAAACAATACAGTGGTTTGTAAATGAGTTCATAGCAGTCCCACATCACTGAGGTCAGACCTGCTCACGTCTGAGGAAAGTTGGTGTCTCAGTTCAGATTAAGCAGAAGCACATCTCTAATTGGACTCTCCTATTCTCTTGATTCTTCGGTTTATTATTTATTATTCCCTTTAACACTCACAGCACCACCATAAAAAGGTCTTTATATGTTGTGTATACAGTACACATCATATAAAGATGTGGGGTCCTACCTTTATATGTATAGTGTCTTGTAGCCTGGGACTACTGCGTCCTTCCAGAACCAAGTTCTTCCGGTGCTGTGGAGGGCGGGCCTTCTACAGTTCTCGCCCACACTTACAAATGTGCATCTAAAGGTTCCAAACTCACACATCAACACAAACATATTAATTTCCATAAATATGTTCAACCATTCACCCCAAAATGTTTGAAATTCATACAAAAAAGCTACTACACCATTATTGTGGTCTGTCTACTTTGATGCTAGAACGATTCTGGTTTGAATAAAGTTATTGATTCAGTAAAAATATTGATATGAGATACTGTACAGTAAAACTGCAATGGCACACACAGAGATGGGGAGTAACTAGGTACATTCACTCAGTTACATTTATTTGAGTAAAATGTACCTGTAGGACTAGATTTACAGAGTTGTACTTTTTACTTTTGCTTGAGTATAAATATAATATAAAGTATCACTACTTATATTTGAGTCAAACTTCTGGCAACTTAATTTATTATTAGTTTAGTCACTTAAGCTTTCACTTAAGCTTGTTTTAAACAAATATTCACCAATTAGAGACACGCCATTTTCTTTTTTTTAATGAAGGCTTATTGATTAAAGGTTATTTTATATCTGCTGAGTCTGAGGTTGAGTTAAAATACAGTAAATCACATAACCTTATCTACATACTGTAAATATTGATTTGGTTAGTTTTATACCTAAAAAGAAAAATCAGTTGCTATGATCATGGGTAGTGAGTAGATCAGTTATTCAGTACTTGAGTAGCCTTTTTACCAAATACATTTTTACTATTACTAGAGTAATTTCTTTAAAGGCTGCTTTTATTTGAGTAAAAATATGATGAAGCAGTGCTATTTTCACTAAAGTACAAATTGTGGGTACTCTACCCACCTCTGGGCACACTTATAGGTGGATTATTAGCTTAAGGATTAAACTAAACTACAGCTTCCTTCACAATGATAAGCATCACCAGTATAGTTTTGTAAAAGTGTCAGATTGTACTTGTATTCGCATTGTACTAATCCAGAACCAAGTAATCAAAACAAAACAAAACAAAACCAAGAAAGAAAAGTAAAACTTGAGTAAAATACAGGGAATTAAGTAATTTTTCAGTGATGTAGCATAGTTTGAAATTTAAAATCAGTAAAAAACAACCTTTTGTTTGAGTACTTTCATGGGAAAATTATGAACATATTATAAGTATTAACTTTTTAATGAAAAT